AAAATAGCAACATAAAATGTTGGTATCACCAAATCAGCCATCTAGAGTGATCTTTGCCAAGCACAGTCAGACAGGCCTTGTCTGTGGTGGGGAACGAAGGAATGAAGCCAGAAATAGCCCAAGCCCTTTAACCATGAATAGAGGCTTGTATAATTTATTCCAGCTGTAATCAGAGCATGGATTGCTGTCAGTGCAATCAGCTCATAATTAGGAGAATTCTCTGTTGTTCTGCTGTGTTTTCTGGGAGGCCCCGTGGTGCTGAGTGTCTGTCTGTGGGCTGATGTGTAGCAAACAGCCAATTTACTGAACCATTAAGATATCGGCACCTTTTGCTTTTCCCTCGTAACCTGTTGCCATGCCTGCTTCTCATCTCATATTATCTCTCCTTCTCTTCCTCTATGTTCCCTCTGTTCTCTCTCTCTCTCTCCGTCTGTGACTTCCTCCCCCGCAAGTCCTGTGGTGAACAGGTGCAAAAATGATCTCTCATTCACAAAGGGCAAAAATACTTTGCGTATGGTGTCTTTGTCACATGTCAGAAAGGGAGCCAAAGCCGGGTCATTTCCATGCATTTGCAGTTGTCAATAGAAGAGAGAGGAGGAATTGATAGATTGGGCAACTTGTCACTTTTCTCCTTTCTCTGCCTCTGATTTTCTAATAAGAATACATATTTGGTATTATAGGGTTAGGGGGTTTGCAAAATGACTAAACTTATCCCGCAATATCTGTGCGAACATGAGCTATGCCAAATCATGTGACTTGAGGATGAGGGGTGTTTTATTACTTCTAAAAAATCAGATATGTGATTTTCGCTGACTGAATGGTAAAACAAAAAAAAAGAAAGAAAAAAAATTCCCATAGATTTGAATCAAATAAACAACTCAAGCCATTTCTAAGGACCAGAATATTATAGAGACTTGGAAGATTGCCTCTTCTGACTTCAAGTCCTCTTGGGAAGTTAATATTTATGAGTTGAGAAATCAAAATGATTTAATCAAGTGCGTTCAGATCACTTTGGTCGGAGTAAAATGGTGATGTACTTTAAATAATGCCTTGTGAGTGTACAACAGCACTAATTAATAAGGCCAAACATGGTACCGTTGATTTATATTTATTCTTTATTTATTTATTTTTATTTAATTTCTTGTTTATTTTATTATTATTATTATTATTTTTTATTTTTGTCAGATTGTTAAATTATTGGTAATATGTCTGATATTTGAAAGACAATAAAAAGTTGATCACAAAAATGAAATACAGTAAAATTTCTACAAATTGAAGAATAAAGAATGCTTATGTTTTAATTATATTAATGATATGATTATATATTCTACCATACTGTAAAAAGTATGATTAATTATAGTTATATTTTGTGCAACTTAGCTAGTTTTATTATAAATGAAAAAATTATTTTATTAATTTCAGTGAATTTACTATCAATATAGATGCTGCATCCATTGTGTCCACCATGTTTTCTCACCAACCCGGAAACTCAGAGCTCAAAGAAAATCTTGAGGCATGAGATTTTGTGGTGGCATTCAACTCATATAAATGATATTTCTGACATGACTTGAATCCACCATAAGCAAACCACCTAATAACCATATACAAATATGATAAATACCACTCAGAACACCTTAATAACCATACAGCAACACCATCGCAACCACCCAACATCAATTTTCTTCTAAAAATGTAAGATTCTAGTATGAGCTACATTCTGGAACACTGATATCATGGTCAAGATGTATCTTGGTAGACATTAGGAGAAAAGGAATTTGAAAGGGACAAAAAAAAAAATTCTAATTCAGAGCTGATCATCTCAGGTTTGAAGGTCATTTCGGAGGTAGACTTCTATTATAGAAGATTTAGGTTCAGAAGAAAGGGACAAAAAAACATCTGCCGATGTGACTGGGTGGTCTAAACAGTCTTGTATCACATGTCTACAGTAGAACTAAAAGGGTCATTCTCTGTCTCTCTTCGGTGTGAATGCTTAATTTAACGCTCAGGAGGGGACTGTACCACTCTGACATCAGTGCCCCACTGTGACATTTCTTGCTCTGCAAGTAATGACAGGGCATGGAGGAAGAGCGAGGGGGCTAAAAGCGAGTGGGAGAGAAAGAAAGAACGACAGACAGAAAGACATTGCAGTCTGTACAAACAGTCCAAATCTATCCCCCTGGCCCCCGCACTAAAACTTTGTTCTCTTGATGGGAACAGACAGTGGGGTCCAAATGTCTGAGACCACATTAAAAATCTGGATTTCTTTTCATTTTTATTTAAACCTCACTGAAGGAAAAAAGGGGTGTAGGATTTACTTTGAAACAGTTTTCACTCAGAAATCGCAAGTTAATTTCACAAACACATTGAATTAAAGACTGAAATAGTATCTTCTTGGATAATGTACTGTACTCCAATTATTTACAGTCCTGGAAATAAAGTATGTTCTATTAAAAAAAAAAAAAGCAAACAAAACTTGAAATGAAGAAATATTTCTGCATTTAATGTTCAGCATCATGATGTAAAATGGACAAGAAATATTTAAGATATTAAAGATTTGAATAATAATAATAATAAAAATAAGTAAATTTGGTAACACTTTAGAATAGGGAACACTTATTCACTATTAACTACGACTTTTCCCTCAATAAATTCCTAATTTGCTGCTTATTAATAGTTAGTAAGGTAGTTGTTAAGTTTAGGTATTGGGTAGGATTAGGGATGTAGAATATGGTCATGTAGAATAAGGCATTAATAATATGTGCTTAATTAGTACTAATAAATGGCTAATATTCTTGTAATATGCATGCTAATAAGCAACTAGTTAAGAAACCCTAAAATAAAGTGTTACCGTAAATTTAATAATAATAATGTTTAATAAAAAGTAAATAAAAATTATAACATTTTTAAGGATAATTATAAATTATATATTATTGTTTAATTGTTTAAATTAAATGATTATTTATTTAAATAAATAAATATTTAATTTAAATTAAATTATTTATTAAATATCGCACAATATAAGCATTGTTACTAGCGTCAGACCCCACTGTATAATATTGGATTTGATCGGCTTTAGGTGCCTCAATACCAATTTGGAAGGTGCCTACAATTCAGAGACTCCACTGCATTTATTTTCTTAAGAGATTGACCAGAACTCCTCATTGTGAATTGGCCATTCAACACACACATGGGGCATTTAACTCTGCAGTGCCGCTTACTGTGAAGCTCAAACCGATGGCTCCTAGGGCACCTCTCTCACAGGTTGAATTCACAGGAGACCTTATTACTTTGAGTCTCATTACACGCAGTTTGGCTGACATGGCATGGAATAGAGTGTGGATTGCTATAGTCACCGCGGTGTTCAGCTGCCCAATTATGTCAATAGCCGGGATTTGAAACGGAATATGATAATGCCCTGGAAAGTTGCTAACTCCCCTGTTTTGAACTTATTAGCTGTGGCGTGAAGTGCTGTTCAGTAATTTATCGCCTCTTGGAGTAATAAATGGGGAAACTGAGCTCTGTTTCTCTTATTGATTCACGGTGAGTGTTGACTTGCTGGTCTGGAAGAGTGTTCTTGCTCTCAGCACTTATTTGTCAGCCGTTTCTTGCTTCTAAGAGTGTTGACCAAATCTGTTCTACATGCACAATTATATTTATACAGCATAAGCTTTTAAAACAACATGCAAACTAGCTTGAATACAAAGCATGGAAGTGCAGACACCCTTATTAGTGTATAAAAGATGAGCATGGCCATTTTTCATTGTGTCAACAGCATTTGCTTTTGCACAGTCATTGTGCTGTTGTGCTTAGTGTTGTTTTTGGATAGAATGGGGTCTGAAGGCCAGGCTCTTGAGGGTGGGCACATGTCTTGTCCTTTCTATAATTGACTCTGGAGCTACGTGTTTTGGTTTACAAAACCCAGCCATTGATTCAGGGCTGCAGGCTGTTTCACGGTGTGCTTATTGCTTGAATTGCACCTCTGTGTAAGTGCTCACGTAAGGTGAAGGGAAGTGACATCACTGGTGATAAACAGTGTATTAGCAATCAGGCACCTGTGATATTGCAGATTTTGGTGAAAGAAGGAAGAAAGCGATTGGACAGGGAAAACAATGGAACTATCAATCAAACTGTGTGCAAAAATGCAGAACTGACCATTATATGATAAATTCTGTGCAAATGTTATCTTGTGGCTCGATCCCATTTGGGGGCAGTAGAGATTTGCAGGTAAACTGGTGTAATGAAATGGCATAGATCTCCAATACCACAGACATATGAACAGGATACCTCAGTTCAGACCTTTTTGTTTTATCAATATTTTGATATTTCTATGCTCTGCTTGACACAAAGCATGGTCTGTAATCCAATATCCTTCTCTTGTACATGAATTTTTGTGTGTATATTTATTAATTTATGAATTTAATAAATAATGTCCTTAAAATGATCCAAACAGATCTTCAACTATAGTGTCAAAAATGTACTTTTTCATTAAGGATCAATATTTGCTCCTGGCTTTTTTGGGGCTTTTTTTATGTTTCAAAAAAATGCTTGAAATCTCAGTTTGAATCAGCTTCTAATACTGATGCAAAAAAGTAAAGTGAAAAAAAAAATGCACAGAATATCATAAAACAAATACTCTGCTAAATACATTTTACATAATTATCTGGTCTATATATTTTATAGCACTGTTGAGTGTCATGGTAGGTTTTTATGTTATCGCTGTTTCAAGTTTTGGCAATTTTGGGCCTGCTGAGATTTGTTCTCTACTCATTTAGTATTTGCATAGCTAGTTTTAGTTTCTGACCCATCTGTGACCCATCAGTTGAGACTCAGTGATAAAATTCCACGTAGAATAGATGAAAAGTCAAAGGTAGGATTCACAGAATTTCCCTGTGGTTTTAGAATGTGATCTCAAGAGCTTGGTGTATTTAATTTATGATTACAATTTAGCTAAGGAACACTACTTCACCTCTTGATTTTTGACTTTTTGTCCTCCAGAATGTCCTCCTGGGTGAAGATCAGTGGATCAGGTGGATGTTTGGCACAACCCGACCAATGAAGCAGGAGATTTTGAGCAGGTTAGCAACCATTAACACATTTAAACCTGATCTGAGATGTCTGAAGTCAGCATGTTCTGTGTTTTTTAATAGTTTTGTGTTCTTATTTCAATGTTAACTGTACTACTACTGTACAACTTAAGAGTATGACTGAAGCTAAAATGTAAGGACTTTGTGGCTTTGTACAACATAATTGTTTTAATGAAGATCTAAAAAGGCAAGAAGGTTAGGTTTTGGAGTAGGGGATGGAAAATATCATTAGCCAAGTATAAAAATGACAGAAACCACGACCATGTTAGAAAAACAAACATATGTGTGTGTTTAAAGTGATTCTTCACACTCCAGTTGACACTGCCTTGTGTGGCTGTGTTGATATGTGGATTCAGCAGGTTTTTGAATCACAACCCCATATTAAATCTAAATTTACCTTTCATTTCCAAGATGATGAATGAAAGATTGAGTGTTTATTTATTTATGCAGCTTTATGGCAATTCAGGCTGCCTAACATACAGCTTGTTAATGCATTTGTATTCATAGGAACATAATTTTCACCTTAGAACGTGTATATATCACTTCCAAACCAAGTTTTTTCCTCTGCTCACAGTATCACAAATCAGTAAATCCGCCTATATGGGCCAATATTTCAAAAGGCTTTTATTAAAACAACCCGGCTGTGCCATTATAGTAATATATTAAGATCCAGGCCCCATCGATCCTGTCTTTGTATTCCGGTTTGTTCTACAGAATCCAACTTGCCAAATCATTAAATTTTTAGTGTCTGCTTATATCCAGCTGAATAATTTATCAGGCGGTGGGGTGAGTGATTCAGAAAACACTTGATTGTCTGCATGCTGGGGGTCTGGGGGTCTGGGGAGGTATTGAACCAGGAAAGATGATTTAGAAAATGTATTGGATGGAACGGTGGCTGTATGGAGATGATTGAGCAGAAAGATGACAATGTTAATGACTGGAGAACTCTTTCTGATTCAACCTTGCTGCTGTAATAAAGTAGACATACATTTTTTTTTTTTGAAGTTGAATATGTATATATACTATGCATTTTTTTGATAAAAATATAGTAAAAACATTAATATTGAGAAATATTATTACAAATTAAAATTACTCTAGTCTTCAGTGTCACATGATCTTTCAGAAATCATTCTAATATGTTGATTTGGTATTCAAGAAACATTTCTTATTATTATCAATGTTGAAAACAATTGTGGTGCTTATTATTATAGTGGAAACCATGATAATTGTTTTCAGGATTCTTTGATGAATAAAAGTTAAAAAGAACAGCATTAATTTGAAATAGAAATCTGTTGCATCAATGCAAATGTTTAAACTGTCACTTTAACTGTCAATTAATCAAAAAATGACACCAAACATTTGAACTTAAAAACCAAATAGACGCATGAATATTTTTCTTCTTTTGCAAAGTAGTTAGGAAGATTTTCTGTACTTATGGTAAAGAAATATTTATATATGTGACCCTGGACCACAAAACCAGTCATAAGGGTCAATTTTTTGAAATTGAGATTTATACATCATCTGAAAGCTGAATAAATAAACTTCCCATTGATGTATGGTTTGTTATGATAGGACAATAATTGGCCGAGATACAACTATTTGAAAATCTGGAATCTGAGGGTGCAAAAAAATCTAAATATTGAGAAAATC